ATCACAACCAGTCTCAAGAAAGTAATCTTGATGAGCTCCTATTCATCTACCTTTTGGGTGCTTGTACTTTCAGTATTGTATCTGATAAGCCATTTTCTAATTCACAGTAAAATGTCAGAAGGATTTTTTTTTTTTTTTTTTTTTTTTTTTTTTTTTGCTCCAAATGCCTTCAGGGCAGGTTTGGCTAGCTTGAGTTGTTGGGATCGAATCACAGCAACCTGAGCCTGACTGCTTTGTTGAAGCAGCCACGAACTGAGCTAAGGGGCAGGCCCCCCACAGTAAAATGTCTATACACATATTTACACATAGCTTTTGGCACATCCCTAATTCCAGCGTGTAGAAGGGTTCAGTGAATTGAGGCCAGTCTGGCTACACTGTGAGTTCAAGGCCAGCCTATACTATACCGTGAGATCATCTTAAAATAAACAAACAAGAACCATAAAGTCCTTTTCCTCTAATCCTATTCCTATAATAACTTAGTGAATTCTGTGGGTCCCCCACTGAATGATCAAAACGTGTGGGAATCATGTGAACTTACAATTGATGTTTGAAATGAAAGAAATCTTGGGGGCTGTTAATTCTGTTGTTCAATCCTTAAATTCTTATATCAACTTTGGTATTAATATTTGCTTGAAACAAAGTCAATCACCAAGAAACTAGAATTAAAGATATGAAAATAGAAAATAAAAATTTAAAATTAGATAACTCATCTAGAAAACCTGGTGGAATCATAGATTTATTTCCATACTGACACAACCTAGTAAATAGTCAACACTGAATGAGAAAATACCTATACCTTGGCATATCGTGGTATTTCAGATGCCAGGAATAAAGAAAAAGAAAAAATAGAAGAGGAAAAAAGTTCATATACAAAGAATTAAACCAGAACTCTCAAAGACTAAGCAAGAGAATCGTAAATTTGATGCCAGTGCCTCAGCAACTGAGTGAAACTTTTTTGTTTTGTTTTTAAAAGGCTGGGCATATAGCTTAGTGTGAATGCCATGTGTTCAATCCTCAATACTGAAGAAAAAAAAATTACAAATAAGTTCAGACCAGTAAAAAAAAAAAAAAAAAAAGTTCAGACCAGTTACTAATGCTAATTTTGTCAAGAAACTACTAGAAGGGTCATTTAAAAACAATGGAATGAATAATGTAATAAGTCAAGAAAGATAAAGACAGCCAAAAAAAAAAAAAGACAGATGTGAGCTCCTAGGCAGTGAAGGGAAGTACCAAAACCACAGATAAAAGGAGGCGCAGCATGAGCATCTTGCTACAGGATAAGAAAGTTTTAGGAAGGTGCTCTCTAAGAAACAAAGAATGTTACAGATTGCCACAGTGTTTGAGGTTAGTAGGGAAATTAATTATTTTTTTGAGACAGAGTTACACCATATAATTCAGGTTGGCCTTGGACTCACTACATAGCCCAGGCTGGCCTTGAACTTGTGGCAATCCTCCTGCCTCAGCCTCCTGAGTGCTGGGATTATAAGCATAGACCACCATGTGCAGCCTAAGAAAAGTTTTAAATTATTTGATTGGAAGAAAGAGTTAGTGATATCCATACAGAAACTAAAGGGGGAAAAAAAACCCAACATTATCACTAACTCCATGAAAATACCAAAAATAAACAATAACCATAGTATGTAATTCACTTGTAATATTATGAATATTAGAAAACAATTTAACCAGATTTTGTAATATAACTTTTTTTTGTAATACAACTTTATTGAGCAAATCAAGACAGGGAATAGGCCAATGTTTTCATAGTAGGAAGTCATTAACATCTTAAATAGAGTACACATGGACACACTGACATGCCAGAAGAAAAACAAGTGAAACAGGGGAGTTGCTCTCATACACTAGCAAGCACCAGCTAGACTTTTCTTTTTCCTTTTTTGCTTTGTTTTTATTACAGTGTCCTGAGATACAACTCCAGACCTTGCACTGGCTAGGCAGGTGCTTATGCCTAAGTTATCTCCCCAGCCCGCAAGCACCAGTCTAAATGGGGAAGGAAGTATGTAAGAAGTCTTTAGAGGTACTAGAACTTCTGGTGGCTACTGTCACCTTCAGTGGAAGATAAAACCAGCAAGTGTAGAGGCAGTCAGAAAATTTATTTTTATTTTTAATTTTTATTTTTTTATTTTAGGGAAGGGTCTACATACAGGGTATTCAAGGTCTCACTACTAAATCGAACTCATAGTGATCTGACTTGTTACAGGCTCCCAAGAGCAGGGATTACAGGTGTGTGCCACCACGCCCAGTCTCAATTGCCCTTTCATTGTGCCCTGGGGGCAGGGGCGGGCAGCAGGCCCGGGGTGATCCCCAGCCCCTGTGCCTGCTTACAGACACTTTAATCTGCTGAGCTATTTGGCCAGCCCAAGGCAGTCAGAACTTTAAAAGTCAAGAGTAAATTTGATTTGAAGGCACTGAATAGGAGACACTGTAGGAGACAGCTGGCCAAAACTGTTAAATACAGAGATTCCTAGGTGCAGAACAGTTCTAGAAAAGTGGCAAAAGCTGACAAAGGATTAAGACAACAGTAAAGACTTGAGTAAATGAAACATTTCCATCTGGAGAATAATGAGATGACCAGTTTTATTACAGAATAAACACATTTATTTTCTCTCTGACCTGGCTCATTGAAGTTTAATAAATATTCTTTTTTTCTTTTTCTTTTTTTGGTACGAGAGACTGAACTCAGGACCTTGCACTTGCCAGGCAGGCACTTACATCATTGAGCTATCTTCCCTAGTCCTTAATAAATATTCATTAAGGTTCACAATTCAGGTAAATAAACAAAAAACAAACAGATACTTGACTTCAAACATATGTGGGCCAAGAAATTCCATGTATTCACCAAGAGTGTCAGCTATTTGCAAGCTCCTCCAAAGAATAGTCAGCAAGACTGCGCTTGGGCCAGATTGCGCTCTTCAGAAGTAGCAGTATCTCCAGGCACACATGTTCTTTCAGAACCGTACAACCTCTCAAGAGGTGAAATCTATGAGCCTCCCTAGCAGGACTCTTTCTACCTTGGCAAACAGAAGGCAGCAGGGGCAATACTGTATGCCTGCCACAGCCAAGTCCTGACAGGCTGCATGATTCTCAGCTCCTCCTTCAGTTTCATGGAATGTCCACTCTGAATCGACATCACATTGTGAGGAGGCCAAATTAACCACGTGGAAAGACCACATGACAAAACCTTCCTGAGGAGTGAACTGCAGTCTAGTGTGGCCCCTGTTCCCGACCATGAACATCAACATCATACATGCTCATTGTGTGCCACTGAATTTTAGGGTAATCAGTTATACAACCATTACTAACCAATGAGTACTCAAGTAGTTTAAAACCCAATGAGGGTTGCGAGTATAGCTCAGTGGCAGAGTGTGTGACTAGCATGAACAAGTCCCTAGGTTCAATTCTCAGTATGTGCCCTCCCAAAAAAAGCAAACAAAGAGCTACGTAAGGACATACATAACTAATATAAGTTAGACACAAGTTAGTATGATGTGATAACTACACAATATATAAACTAAGGGTCTTGGGAGAAAAACAAAGAATTCTAGCTAGGGGGTACAGCACTGAGGGGAAAATGGGAATTGTTCCATAGAAGTACTGTGAGTAGGCCTAAATAACATTTTTTCATTTTTTTGAGATAGGGTCTGACTATGTAGTTCAGGCCTTGAACTCACTATGTAGCCCAGGCTGGCCTCGAACTTGCAGTGATCTTCCTGCCTCAGCTCCCTAGGTGCTTGGATTACAGGCATGTATAACCATGCCAACTCTCTATAGACAGAACTTTGAAAGAATATAACGTAAGAAAAAGAAAGGTAAGTGAGAAGATGAGAGATAAAAATTTGTAATCTCTAATATGTGAACAGTACCAAACTATTTTCAGGACACTGTGAGAGACATTACTTATACATAGAGAAAGTGGACTTACAGAGGCCAATCTCAATCATAGGAAGCTGTTGATCTTGCTGTTTTAACTTTTTTTTTTTTTTAACATTTATTTAGTGTGTGTGTGTGTGTGTGTGTGTGTGTGTGTGTGTGTGGCCAGCTCAGCCCAGCAGGGGGCGCGGCTGGCTGGCATGTGGTGCTGGGGGATCGAACCGCGGTTCCCTGGGCTTTTCCAAGCTTGTTCCAAATAGGTGCTTTAGACCACTGAGCCATCTCTCCAGCCCTGTTTTAACTTTTATACAAAGGGCAAAGACCAGGCCCACAAAGGAAGCAACTTATTGCTTCCTTTGATGTACTGGCCAAGACAAAAATCAGACCCTTGCTTGCTCACTGCTCCAGACTCAGTATCACTTTAATGACAGCAATTCTCCATGATTAGCATTCTTTGGATTTCTAGCAGTGATCTACAAGGAACCTTTTGTTTTAGACCAAAATGAAAAGAGTCAGCACCTAATAAATAATAGTCATAAAGAACTGAGTAAATGCATGAGCTGCTTTTGTTGTTGTTGACACAGGGTCTTGTTAAACAGTTCACACTATAATGACCCTCCTGTCTCAGCAATGGTATTAGAGGCATGCACCACCAGGCCACCATGGCACGCAGTATCAGGGATCAAACTCGGGTCCTTCCGCTTGCCAGGCAGGGCATGAGCTGCTTTGATTGCTGAAATTTGCCCCTAACTCTCCTAATAAGGACAAGATTATGTCCATAGCACCAGGCTGATGAGCAGGAAAATAATTACTACTTTCCTTTTTTTTTTTTTTTTTAAAGAACTGGGGATTGAACTCAGGCCCTTGCACTTGCCAGGCAAGCACTTATTCTACTGAGCCATCTCCCCAGCCCCAATAATTACTACTTAACGAACTGAACCGAAACACTTGGCTCTGTGAGCCAAGCAGAGGCCTGAAAGGAGGAACTCTGAGCTGCTTGCACAACAATTCACTTTTGACTTGGTCTCTCTTCCATGACATCAGCTTTTATGTTCAAGTGTTCATGTAGGTAGCACTTACAGACTCAGAAACTTTACAATTTCTGTTCTCCTCACCTCGTAAAACTTTTTCAAGGCGCTCACCAGGCAGAGCTTCAGGCTATCCACAATCTCCTGATGAGGCATCTGGAACACCACTCGCGAATACCATTTAGTGAGGGTCCTATGGTGGACCAGTGAAGAGAAAAGAAGATGAACAGACACAGAGGAAGCCCACGGTCTATATGTCAGCACAGATGTCACATCTCTCTCAGAATCAACCCAATAAGTATCTAGAAATTGCATTTGTGTTATATAAGAACATGAATTGATGTGGGAAGATATAATCAAGTCATATACAGAATACACAAAAAGTGTAATTGTAGATATTTTCTATGAAACTGCCTCTAACAAAAATTTTAACCTTACAGCGACCAACAGAGGATTAGTTAAATAATACAGCATATAATAAATTATGTCCCTCAGCTAAAAAGAATTGGGATTTGTATCAATAAAGAAAAATATTCAAAATATAGCTTAAGCACATAAAACAAGCTGAAGCACAGTATTCATAATATACATCTCTTTTGTGTAAATAAGGCATGTGTATCACACACACATACATGTACATGGTCACAGCATCATATTTCGGCCAAGGACAACTGCATGTATAATTAAGGGCTCATTGCTTCTTGGCCATTTGGCTAAAATCAAGTATAGTATGTTGGTAGTCTCATAAAATTTTATTACCTAGTGATGTTGCCACCTGAGTTTGTATAAATATACTCTATGATATTCATACAATGATAAAGTCCACTAAGTGACGTAAGACTATACATGTGTGTTAATATATGCATAAAAGAAAATATGGAAGTACATACACATCAAACATTGGGTAGATTTTTTTTTTTTAATTTATTTGGTTGTTGCAGGGTCTCTCTACGCAGCTCAGACTCGCGGTGATTCTCCCGCTTTAAGCCTCCCCTGCACTAGGGTTATACATGTGCACCACTATGCCTGGACTCTGGCCAGCTCAGCCTGCCCTGGTGCAGGGCTGGTGCAACATGTGATGCCAGGGATCAAACTGTGGTCCCTATGCTTGCCTAAGCAGGAACTTTAGTCTGCTGAGCTATATCACCAGTCCCTTGGGTAATGGTTTGATGTAGAAATCATGAGGAATTTTAATTTTTTAAACTTCTGCAGGTATGTAGAAGGAGTATATCTTATCTTTATAATTAGAACAAACAGAAAATATTTACTGATTTCTAGGGGAAAAAAGCCCACAACACAAGGCAAAGCCTCTATCCTTGCAAGAGGGTATACTGCAGCAGAAAACAAACTCACACACACCTCTAGCATTTGCCTATAATCTCAGCACTCTGGGAGGCTGAGGCCAGAGGACTGCCATAAATTCAAGGTTACCTTGGACTACATAGTAAGTTCAGGGCCAGCCTAAATTACATTGTGAGACCCTACCTCAAAAAACTAAACCAGTGATTGCTTCAGCAGCACATATACTAAAATTGGAACGTGTCTAAGATGTTTGATAGATAGTGAGATTAAGCTCAACTGTCTATGTCATAAGGTAATAATATCATTAAGCTCTTCTGGAGGGTTACCAACTTAAGTTTGCAGACTAAAAATTACAAAAAAAGAAGGGCTGTAAGGATAGCCATCAATTTGGCCCTAGCCTTTCAAGGTTGGTGAGGACTCAGGACATAGGAGAACCTGTACTGAACATCCTGTATTGTGTCCCAAATTTACTGATCAAAGAGATTATGGAGCCACAGAGGAAAGTGATCGATGACGTAGAGTGTGCCTAAGGAGAGTCACATAGAGAGAAAACATTCTCTCAGGCTTTCACAGAGAGCATATTGGTCAAGCAATGACCGTGACTCATCTACAATGACTGACACTGACAAAGGATCTACAAACTGCGGTGCAGGGTTTCAGGGTAAATCCTAAGGGGATCTGACTGACCTTGGCAAATACAAAAGTTACATTTCTTTTTATATAGGTCTTGCTTTATCATGGTCTTAACCATCTAGCAGAAAAGTATAAAAACGAGGTAGAAAAAGTAAAGCCATATTAATATGCTGAGCTATAAAAGGCTCAAGTCAACAACTTCTGACATTGCCAGTCCTACGGATAATATACTACTATTATGGACTACTGGACTATATTGCATTATTTTGCTGAATTCACACACCTACAATATTTAAATGGCAATGAAATATCCATCTCTGACAAAACTAAACAAAAAGAGGGGATACAAATGAAGGACCATTTTGTATCTGTATATACAAAATAGGATAGATACACAGCTACTTTCTTAATTCAATGAGATGAAAGATTTGTACTAATAGTGTTTGGACAGGATATCATGTCTGCATCTTTTTTTTTTTTAAATTTTATTTATGTATTTATTTGTGTGTGTGGCCAGCTCAGCCCACCAGGGAGCGGGGCTGGCTGGCATGTGGTGCTGGGGGGATCGAATCGCAGTCCCTGTGCTTTGCTAAGCTTGTTCTAAGTAGGTGCTTTAGACCACTGAGCCATCTCACCAGCCCACATGTCTGCATCTTGTACTACGAATAACAACTACAAAGACAACAATATGCAATGTGTTAATTATTGAAACTGTCCTACTAATCAGTTTTGAAACCATCCCATTGCTATTTGTTTCTCAATAAAATTAATAAAAAAAAAATCCTCACACCTATGACAAGTTTAATAAATAGGCTGCATAAATAAATATCAGAGGAAGACAGGAGGAAGGTGGTTAGAACTCTTTATCCTACAACATGTACTACTCAAAAATATGTTTGATTTACTAAAAGATTAGACATCAAAAACAAGATAACTAAATATAAATAACAAAATTGTGAGTAGTACTTACACATTAATGCTTGCAACAAAGCCAACCACAGAACGCATGCCTCTGCTGGGGTCATGGTAAACATCCATTCCAATCACCATTAATTGTTTCTAGGTTAGAAAATAAAATTAGTAAATCCAAAATTCAAGCAGTCCATCACACTATCTTTAAATATCATCTGAGTGCATGCTTTTGCAACATATATGACATCATTTGAGCCCCAAAGCAACCTCCTTCTATTGTTTATAAATGAAAACAGGTTCTAGAATAGAAAGACTGCTATCAATTTGACATTTTCTTTTGTTTGTTTGTTTGTCTTGGAACTCAGGGTGATCCTCTTGTCTTTGCCTCCTAAGTGCTGGGATTACAGATGTGTGTCACCATGCCTGACCTTCAACTTGACATTTCTTTTTTTCCTTCCTCCCTCTCTTACTCCAGAGTTTGAAAAGTTACTGGGGACAAGGAACAGGGATAGCTCTGAAATCAGAATAGCTTCTGAAAGTGGAGGGAGGTCCCAACAGGGATGCCAACTTGACGTTTTTCTTAACACAATGAACAAAGACAGAAATCTAGACCAGGGAGCAGTAAACTTTCTGTGAAAGGATTACAGAGTAAATATGTTGGGCTTTGTGCATCAGTTTCTGAATGAAATATAAGAATTGTGCCTTTATACAGCAAAACCAGCCACACACTATACATAAATGAATGTGGTTGTGTGTCAAAGAAATTTTATTAAGGACACTGAAAGGATAATTTCTTGTTTTACTGTTCTATTTATTTATTTGGTACAGGGTCTCACTCTACAGCTTGGACTCATAGTGATCCTCCTCTCTTAGCTTCCCCAATGCTGGGATTATTAAAGGCATGCACCACCACACCTGCAGAGCTACTCCCCAGCCCTGAAAGAATCATTTCATGCAGTCTTCATATATGATAAAACAATGGTCTTATTCTTCTTTTCTGCCTTTTAAAAATGTAGAACTATTCTTAGTTCATGGATGGGTGGTCCAAAACCAGCCAAGTGGACTTCCAAATAAGCAATGAGAACAGAAAAGACAACTACAGAAACAGGCACAATTCACCAGAAAGCCAAACTCAAGACATATCTCAGCATCACTCACCAGAGGAATATCTACTCCCCAGAGTTCCCCGCCCAATTTACAGTTAATCTGAAGCAAAATTTTCTGAGCCACACTCCGAAGTCTGGCAGGCTGACCAATGGTTCGAACATTGATGACCTACGAGAGAACCAAAATAAACCGCTCAGAAAATATAAACAATTCTAAAGTAAATAAAGTAGTCTCTTGGATCCAGGCTCCACCCACCTCCAGATACCAATATCCAAAGATACACAAGTCCCTTCTATACAGAAGCACAGCATTTGCATGTAACCTGCACATATTCCCCTGGAAACTTTAGATTACTTGTAATACCTAACACAGTGCAGCTGCTTTACAAATAGTTGTTATATTGCTTAGGGAATAATACAAAAAGGTCTGTACATACTCAGTATAGATGTAATTTTTCTTTCTTAATATTTAAGATCTATGGTTGGTGAATCCATTGACACAGAACCCATATAGACCATGCTACATTTGTTTAAAAAACTCAATTAGAAGCTAATACATTTTATATTAGTAATTCTAACTTAAGAGACTTTATGTATGCATTCACCACACACACTCATATCCACACACATGCACACCCTACAAACAAAATCAACAAATGAAAACTAAAGTCTCTCATGTATGGTACAATATTTTAAATCCCCTAAAAAAAAAAACATCTTTCCCTCTTCAGAGCGAATTCTACACTCTCAAAACTCAGTCACAGACACCACCTGGCAGCTCAATTGCTAACTGGGACAGCAAGAAACTTAGAAGAGCTATGTACCTACTACTATTTGCCAGGCTACTCTGAACAGGGACCCTTTTACACAAGGTACTACACATACTGGCTTGTAACAGCTACTTCAGTCTTCTGAATATGCACACCGCCCCTCCCAAGCCTTGAGGAGGCTTCCTCAGCTGCCATGCCTCCTGGCCACATCCCACTCACCTGTGAGGGCACCGGGGACTGCACACAACACAGCTTCTTGATGGCCCCATAGAGATCATCACGTGTGCCCATAATGATGCAAACAACTACCTGTATCTTCCCCTTGAAGAGATAAAGTATATACAGTCAGGCTTCAGAACTATAAGGGGGCTTTCATGGGAATGAGTCTACCAAGCATAGGGCCTATGGGGATAGACAGGTAATTTTTAAAAAGTGTAGACATTTCAACCAGAAAAAGGCCTGAATAGCATAGGCCTTTGTTTGGCTCACAGCTGCTCTGCACAAATAGATATTACGTTACTGTTAGATACCTGGAGCTGGTCTTGATTTGTTTTTTCTTTCTTTTTTTAATGTATTTGGTACCAGGTCTTACTACACAGCTTGGACTTGTAGTGATCTTCCTGTTTTCAGCCTCCTCAGCACTGGGATTACAGGCATGAGCCACCATGCTCAGACTTGGTCACCAGCTCAGTGCACCCCAGGGGCAGGGCTGGCACAGCACACAGGCCTAGGGATTGAACTCTGGTCCCGGCGCTTGCTAAAGCAGGTGCTTAGTCCACTGGACTATCTTGCTGGCCCTGAAGCTGGTCTTCATTACCAAGGATTTATTTCCTAGGATAACTTAGATCCTAGAAAGGACCAGGCTTGAAAATATGCCACGGCTACATTATCTGTTGTGTACCACTGCCATGTTGTATACCACTCTCTTCAGTTAATTAAGCAACTTATCACCTTCATCCCATAGCACTTTAACTGAGGAAATATGGAATGCAGTAACATAAGAAGCGGTTCAGAGCCAAATGCAGAAGGAACGAAGCTATTGCCAAATCCACAGCAGCCATTCTCTCTCTGGATAGGGACAGAATGACAGTGCCAGCAACATCCTCTCTCACTCACTGCTCAAGAGAATTAATGCTGAAGACAGAATCTTCCAAAATCCCAGCACTTAAGCCTTGATGCCAGACACGCCATACATGGAAAATCTGTACTATGCTTCCTAATCAAGAGTGGCACTAACACTTCTCAGAGAGCAATGTTCCAGTGATTACATTAGAGAATTTCTTTCTCTTTCTCTTTCTTTCTTTCTTTCTTTCTTTCTTTCTTTCTTTCTTTCTGTCTGTCTGTCTGTCTGTCTGTCTGTCTGTCTGTCTGTCTGTGTGTCTGTCTTTCTCTCTCTTTCTTTCCTGTGCAGGGTCTCACTATGCAGCTCAGATTCACAGTGATCCTCCTGTTTTCAGCCTCCTTAGAACTGGGATTACACGTGTGTGCCACCACGCCTAGACTCCAGCACTGGCTCAGTGCAACTGGGGCGGGGGGTGGCACGCAGTGCCAGGGATTGAGCCCTGGCTCCTGTGCTTGCCTAAGCACTGAGTCTGCTGAGCTATCTCGCCAGCTCTATCAGAGAATTTCTAAAGTCAAGTTGAACCTAGGCTTCACATTGGACCAGACAGGCTGCATATAGCAAATGCATTTTCAGTACCAACTGAAAATAACAAGTTTGCCTTTTATTTTTGTTTCAGAGTCGCTTTGTAGTCCATGCTGGCCTTGAACTTGCAGCCATACTCCTGCCTCAGCTTCCCATGTGCTGGGACCACAGGCATGTGTCACCTGTTCAGTTTACAAATTTTTTAAATTAACACTGAAACCAGCAAGTCTATACATATACAAAACCATACTGTTGACTTCCAATGAAAAATGAACAAATTAAAAATCAATTTGATAGCTGGGGGTTATGGCTCAGAACTAGAGTATCTCCCCAAATGCTCCAGGATTCAAACAGGGTGGGGAAGGGCTTTTGGAAGCCCTGTGACTGAATCATGGAAACAAAACTCATCAATGGACCAGTGCACTGATGAGTTTACAGCTGAATGCATTGTAAGGAGGTGGGGTGTGTAAGAAGATTCAGGTCTCTGGGTTGTGACATGGATGAGCATATACTTGTCCCCCCCTCCAACACTCTGCTCCTAGCTGCAGTGGGTAGAGCAGCGGTCCTCTGCCATGCCCATCCACCATGTTCCTTCCATGGAGCCAGCCAACCATGAGACAAAATACATTTCTCTTCTTTTTGTTTCTCGATGTCAGTAACAGGAAAGCTGACTAATTTTGTCCCAGTGACAGGAAAGCTGACTAATACACTGGGTGTGGTGGAGCATGCCTGTAATCCTAGTTACTGAGAAGGCTGAGGCAGGAAAATCACAAGCTTGGAGCCTGCTTATGCAACCTGGGACGACCTTGTCTCAAAAGTTTTAAAAAGTAAAAAGAATTAGGGTTGTAGCTCTGTATTTCTTGGCTCAATCCCCAGTATTGCAAAAGAAAAAAAAAAAAAAACACAATTTGGCAATAATGGGTTTATATCTGCAGTCTTAGGGATTGCCTCTTTTAGTTCCCTATAGGCTGTTCCCAGCCATGCTCATTACCACAGCAACTTTAAACTTGAGCTAGAGGGGCTGGTGAGATGGCTCAGTGGTCTAAAGCACCTACTTAGAACAAGCTAAGCCAAGCAAAGCACAGGGACCTCAGTTCAATCCCCCAGCACCACATGCCAGCCCGCCCGCTCCCTGGTGGGCTGAGCTGGCCACACACAAAATAAATAAATAAATATTTTAAAAAAAAAAACAACTTGAGCTAGAATAGACAGGGACAGCTCTGTACTGAACCACGAAGGTGGCACTTGGCCAAGTCGTCGTTCTCTGAGGACAACATGTTCTAAAGATAATGAATTAAAGTTAACTCAGCTATTCTCTCAGTCAGTTACACAAGAAGAAGATGACCAGAGTGACAAGAGTGCCGACATAGAATGAAAGAAACAGGAATAACCAACCAAAGGCCATACAGACTACCTTCTCAGTTCAGTATTTCATGGGCAAATGAGTCAGACACTGGCTGTTGGACATTATCAACAGCAGTCTGATAACCAAGATAATCTAAAATTAAGTAGTCAAGCAGTGTGTGGTGCACACTTGTAATCTCAATACTCAGGAGGCTGAGGCAAGAGGTTTTCTGTGCATTTGAAGCCATCTTGGGCTATACAGTGAGTTCAAGGCCCTGCCTAAAAAAAAAAAAAGAAGAAGTAGTAGTAGTCAAGTAATTTAAAAGAGAATACAAGTATACTCAAATTAGTTGCTTTTTTTTTTTTTTTTTTTTGAGGCAGAAGACGGCATACGAGATGTTGCGGCGTGACTGGAGTTCAGACGTGTGCTCTTCCGATCGCCTCTCCAGTGCTCGGGTTATACACATGTGTCCATCTCAAGTTAACTTATTACCTCCACTCCAAGCATGGACTGAATGGTTCTGATATAGGTCTCTATTCGGTCATCCTTCAGTTCAACCCAGGCTGGTGGACTCATGTGCATGCCAATGGGGCCAGCGATTTTCTCTAACATGCTGACTAGTTCCCGGGCCTGATCCATTGCTTTCTTTGGGTAAAAAAGTGCCCAGAAGTGCATGGGGATCTAGGAACAATCATAAGATACTTTTAGTGTTCACAATTTGAACATTCCAAACTCACACTCCAAGCTTTTATTATAAAGCATAAATGACCTTTCAGTCCTTCCATTTGAGTCTTGACTTACCTAATATCATGTAAGTAAATTAAGGCACAGTTTCACAATGAGACACTATGTATCAGTGAAAATGGAAAATCTATAATCATCTACCTAACAATACAGATGAAGCTCAGAAATAGAGAGTGAAGAGAAGCAACCAGATAGAAGAATAGCCACTCTATGATTTTACATACATACAAAGTACAAACAATAGCTGAAATGAGGCTATGCAGTTACCAAGTCAGAAAAGTAGTTATTCTTGGGAGCTGCGGGGAGAACAAGGAATAGGTAGTGGCTAGGAGTATGCAGGAGGGTTTTGGAAATTTCTCTTTTATAACCTTTCCTGTTGATTACTCCAGTCATTTAATTTGTACAAGGAGATCAAGAAATGCACTTATAATTTCTTTTTTTAAAAAATATATATTTTAGGGAAGGGTCTACAGGGTGTCCAGGGTCTCATTATTAGCTCGGACTTGTAGCGATCCACCTGTTTACAGCCTCCCAAGGGCTAGGATTACAGGTGCACACCACCACACCCAGTCTCAATTTCCCTCTCAGCGGGCCCCAGGGGCAGGGCTAGCACAGCAGGACCAGGGATTGAACCCCCAGTCCCTCCACTGAGCTCTTTAGCTGGCCTTTTCTGTCTTTTTGAGACAAGAGTCTCGCTATGTAATTCAGACTGACCTTGAGCTCACTTTGTAGCCTAGGCTTGTCTTGAACTCAAAACTATCCTCCTGCCTCAGCCTCCCAAATGCAGGGATTACAGGTGTGTGCCACCACATCCGGCTTTAAGCAATACGCTTATATGTGTGCTTTTTCTTTAAATATGTTTCAGTATGCTTTTACAACAAATACATGTATTTTATATATCGCCACCACAATCTGGTTAGTCAGAAACACTTAGAAATAATTATGGACAGTTTTGTTCTTTAAGGTAAATAGCTAACACATGAGTTACTGGGGAGGAGGAGTTAGTGTTTTTACTTCTTTTACAGAGAAAAATATCTTCCAGGAACCCTCAGAGAAAAAGAGAAAGAAAGAGCAGAGGTAACAGGCTGTTACTAGACTGTCATGAAAATGTGTGTCCTCTTCAGTCTATGATCAGGCAGAAGGCTTTCTTCTAACAACCCCTCCAACTACTCTACTGGAAGGACCCTTGTCGAACAGATAACTTAGAATGAAATTTAACTGGTATGTTCTCTCAAATAGAGGATACTAGGTCATTCTTTTTCCTAGTTTTAATACACTGAGGATTCCTCGGTCTCTCTTTTCCCACTTCAAAATTACTCACAGTCAAGATGGAATGGTCTCTGGTTACTTCCTTTACAAAGCTTAGGTCCTGAGATGTGATAAATGAAGTATTTCTTAAATTAATTCTCTCCATTGGTAAAACACGTCCTTCAATCTAAACAGAAAATAAATTATCTATGAAACAAGTCATCTACAAATACTGGTACTGTTGTCTACTTGTGCCTGTTATAATTTGTGAGAATAACAGAAAAATAAAACTAGTATCAAGAGTCCATATTCATCAAAACTTACATACACAGAGGTAAAATGCTTACAGATATTACTCTTTATTTACTGAGTTTCCAATCCGGTATCCCAAGAAAGGGATTTTAAAAATCCTCTTTAAAATCATTGAATAAAGGAATATAATCTTTGAAAAATATTTTAAGATACTGTGTGTGCTGGTGCATACCTTTAGTCTTAGCACTCTAGAAGGCTGAGACAGGAAGACTGCTTCAAAGTTTGAGGTTCACCTGGGCTACAAAGTGCATGCAGGACCAGCCTGAACTACACAGAGAGACCCTGTCTCAAAGCAATGGTAACAAAAATATTTTAAGAAACACTGAAGAAGGCCCAGTCAAATAGCTCAGCTGATTAAAGCACCTGCTTTAAAAAAAAAAAAAAAAAGCACCTGCTTAGGCAAACACAGGGGCTGGGAGTTCAATCCCCGGGCTTCACATGCCAGTCTCGCCCCCGGGAGTGGGTGATTGAGACTGAGTGTGGTGGCGCACGCCTGCAATCTCAGCACTTGGGAGGCTGTAAATAGGAGGATCACATCGCTTCTTGCCCTTTTGGCTAAGATCAAGTGAAATAGGAGGATGAGAGAGAGAGAGAGAGAGAGAGAGAGAGAGAGAGAGAGAGAGAGAGAGAGAGAGAGATTGAAGAAAAAAATTAAAGGGCCAGGTGTTTAGCTCAGTGGCACAGTGCCTGCCTGGCACTGTGAGGTCCTGAATTTGATTCCTGCTACTGAACCCCCCACACCAGTGAAAGACAAAGTATTTGCTAAACATATACCACATCCTCAGACCTATTTAATTCTTTTCACAGTCCTAGGGACCAAATCCAGGGTCTTGCATGTGCTAAGCACTCTACAAATGAGCTGCACTTTCAGCCCCTATTTAATTCTTCATTATCAATGTCATTATTATTCTTGTTTTTTGAGACAAGGCCTCACTATATAATGCAGGTTTGCCTTGAATTCACTATGTAGCCCAAGCTGGACTTAAACTTGCAGTACTCCTCCTGCCTCAGCCTCTTGAAGGCTGGGATTACAGGCATGCACCACCACACATGATAAATTCTATCCTCATTTCACACATAAGGAAAGAAGAGATGCTAACCAACCTCCTCAAAGTAACCAAGATTCCAAGTAGCAGACCTAGGATTCAAAGCTAGAAAACACTAACACTAACACCCAATGCCCTTCCCACCATCTTATGCTTCTCTGCAATGTGATCATGCCCGCAAAAAATATAACACTGCTGACTTCGGCAGTTTCAGGGAGGAAGGACCATGGAAAATTAGATTACACAAGCTGGAAACTCTCTTAACCCAAAGGAAAAACAACAGTAGTACATTTAAGGGAATGCAAATCAATTACTGAGCAAGAAAAAGCTTGGGAGGAAAAAGAGAACAAAGAAAAAAGGATATAAATCTTTAAAAATCTTTTGATTTAGCAATAACAAATACTGGTGGGACTGTAGGGGAAGAGGAACCCTTCTCCACTGTTGGTGGGAGAATAGACTGGTACCATTGTGGAAATTCACCAAAAAACTAGGACTAGGGAACTTTGACCCAGTTAATCTCCTTCTTAGTATCTTTCTGAGAGAATTAAAATCATCAGGGCCAGGGGTATAGCTCAGTAGCACAAGCACCCACCTGGCAAGCACAAGGTCCTGAGTTCGATTGCCAGTATAAAAATAAATAAATAAATGCATCATACCACAGCAATATATGCACACCCTTGTTTACAGCAGCACAGTCTATGATAGCCCAATCTTGGAAACAGCTCAAATACTCATCAACTGGTGAATGGATAAAGAAGATGTGGGTTTTGTTTTTGAATACAATGGAACACTACTCAGCCATAAAGGATAAGCTCAAGACAATTACAGGTAAATGGATGCACCTTGAAACCATACTCTCAAATAAAATAAATCAGACACACTTGTCTAAATATGAAATTGTTTCTCTGATGTGAGAAACAGAGTGAAAATAATTAAAATATATAACAGGTATTGTGCAACAGGAAGAAAATGCTCAAATGAAGAGGGGAATATAAAAGGGAGAGGGGGAAACGAAAGAAAAAAGTAAAAAAAAAAAAAGGAAAGAATTAAAAAATGGAAGCAAAGCTTTTGTAAATGGAGAAGCAAGGAGGGGCTGAAGGGATGGTACAATACAAAAAAAAGAAACAAGTTATATCATGTAAAGGTACAAATTCTCTGATGAATGTGATATATATGAATTTTAAATTCAGTACATACTTTAAGAGGTAAGACTCTCTCTATATATAATACATATATTCCAATAAAATCTGATTAAAAAAATAACGTTTTGAAGAACTAAAATGAGGTAAGTTGTAAGTCAATACTGAATCCTCTTATTACCTATTTGGTGAGAAGTTTGTAGCTAAGATCTGAGAAATATAGAGGAAAAATCTATAAATGATACTGGCAAATTAAGTCAAGCAAATTGAAGTACCAGGACTGAAATTTAAAAAAAAAAAAAAAAAAGAGTACAAGAATAAAGCCTCCCTCAATACTAAAGACAAGTTAGGAGTCACCAGCTTGTCTCACACAACTCTAACTCTTGGGCAGTGCCGTTTCCTGGCCATCATATGGTCTCGTTACCTTGTGTATGTCCTTTTGCAGACAGAGCCCCCAACGCATTAGTTCATTGTTGGCTGCCTCATTCTTTGAAATTCTCTGGATTAAACTCTCCAAAGCATTATGGTGCTGTTTCGGGCTCAGGTTAATCTGCTGGGTCAAATCCTAAGAAAACAGAGACAATAAGCTCTAAGTATTACTTTCTCCAATATGAGGGCAAGTAAATGCCAAAGCATCTGAAATGTTTGCAAAAGAAATGTCTTTCCCATTGAAAAGAGTAGAAATTTTCAAGTACTCTCAAGTATCTTTCAGGAATGTTAATGAGGTATAGGGATAAAAAATTTAATATTAAAATTTAAATGTTACTGGCTCTTCCTCACGACCACTGAGTCTCACCTTTTTTTTTTTTTTTTTTTTTTTTTTTATATTTAGGACAGGGTGTACAGGATCTACAGAGTCTCACTGTGTAGACCAGACTCCATAGTGATTTTTCTGTTTACAGCCTCCCAAGTGCTGGGATTACAGGGGCTTGCTACCACGCCCAGTCTCAATCACCCTCTTGGGGCATCTTGGGGGTGGGGCCAGCACTGCAGGCCAGGGGATCAAACTCACAGCCCCTGGGTCTGCCTAAGCAGGCGCTTTAATCCGCTGAGCTATTTTGGCTGGCCCTTTACCTCTTTCTTACAGCATGTCCTGAATTTAAAATTCCTGAGATTCCATCAAATGCAAACAAAGGGAGTTTGACTATACTTATTTAAAATACAGGAAAAGCAAGAGCTAAAAACATGCCAGGATCCAGTTACAACAGAATAGCAAGCCACCTCAGACCTATACTTTGTTAAACTATACTAACATTCAACAGCATAAGAAGGCACATTTTGCCCAAAACTTGCCAGAACAAATGCATAGGAAGATTCTGAATCACATAAATGTATTCTTTGTTCTTTGGGATTTGTGAATTGTACAGCTGCTGTCTGGAATGTTTATGGAGCTATAAAGATAGCTTTCCTCTCTGATTATAAAGTTAGTAGGCAACTGGTAGCTGTAAGAAAAGGGCCTTCCTTGATCTACATACTCAAATCAGAAATATCAGAGGTAAATATGAAGGAAATTTCTCTCAGGAATTTTTGGCTTCACTTCATGATTTTTATGATGTTACTAAAAATTCTCCGCCCAAAAAAAAAAAAAAAATTATCTTGTTTCGGGGCTGGGGAGATGGCTCAGTGGAATAAGCGCTTCTCTGGCAAGCGCAAGGGCCTGAGTTCAATCCCCGGTTCCGCCAAAAAAATATAAAAAAAAATAAATAAAAATTCTATGTGGCCTATGGTCTAGTTCGGTGATGCTGAACCCATGGCACATGTGCCATAGCAGCTGCTATCCCTGAGAACTCTAAAAGGTTCTCCATCATTGAAGCTGAAATTAGGAAAGTGAGGCAGCAGAGCAAGTAGCTCCAACACGGACAGCCCGAGTGGCCGACCGAGGGTTGAGGCTCAGCTGCATGCTGTCAGGGTAGCTACTGAGCCCACTGCTGCCTCTCAACTTGCTCCACTAGCAGCTGAGCCCAACACTCCCAGGACCTCAGAGCTCTGTGTTATAAATGTCTATCCTCATCTTTAAGCTTGCTGATTTTTTGCTTCACTGTCTCTTCCAGGCTTTAAAAGAAACTGAAGTTTTACAGAAATGTTACAGTAATTTAGCGCTCTTAAGGAACCTCATTTATAGTCACGTCACTAATTACCCAAACCTATTTAACTGTGGAGGATGAAGACAGGGTTGCCTGTTTCTTTTTTCCTTATAAGGTAGTCCCTCCACTGTTCTAACAACATTCAAAGGTAGTTTTTTTTTTTTTAATATTTATTTATTTATTTATTTATTTATTTGTGTGTGTGTGTGTGTGTGGCCAGCTCAGCCCACCAGAGGGCAGGGCTCTCTGGCATGTGGTGCTGAGGGATTGAACTGCGGTCCCTTGTGCTTTTCTAAGCTTGTTCTAAGTAGATGCTTTAGACCACTGAGCCATCTCACCAGCCCCTCAAAGGTAGTTTTAACATACTTTTTCACACTCTATGTGGGAAAGGACACAGATCCTGTTCCACAATAGGAAAACCAGAGCCTGGAAGAAAGGTGATAATGCAACCCATAGTCAGAGAGAGAACCTGGCCCAATTCTAACTCAGACTGCTATCCGAAAGGTTATGGTTCAAAGCTGATGTCTCCCTGTTGCAAACAGCAGGACTCCAACCTTCATGGCTCTGAAGTCCTTCTTCATCTTCTCTGGAATCCCAGTCATGAAGGAAAGCTCAGGCAAGAGCAGGATTTCACCTTTTAGCAGCTTTGAGAAAAGCATAGAAAGAGAAAGTGAGGCAGTTAAGAGAGGACGGTGCTTTCCTGGCCTGCACAGACTACCTGTGATCAAGGCCACATAAATCACCACTGAAAAGCATAAAACCCCACAGCAGAGGGCAGGGAAAAACATCAAGTATTTTGTGCATTTTTCCACTTAGCTATCATACAGGTAGCCTATTAAGTAGAGAGAAAAATAAAACTGTCAAAAAAGCAGGGAAAACTAGAAAAGCAACAAAACAAACCAAATTCTGTCCCTCTGGGGCTTAAGATAATATATCCTACCAAGCTGTGTGCCTCACTTTAATCCTACCTTGCCTCAGATTATTATTATTGTTGTTATTATTATTATAATATTATTATTATTATTTTGTACTAGACAGTGAACCCAGGGCCTTCTCATTGAGCTACGTCCTCAGCCCATTTGTTTTTTTTTTTTTTAAATATTGCTGAATTGCCCAGGATGGGCATGAACTCACAATCCTTGTGCCTCAGCCTCTCATAGTGCTAGGATTACAGGCATGGACCACCATATCCAGCTCTCAGCCTTCATGGGGAATCAGGCTGCAGGGCATTTCCTGAGATTCCTGCTAAAACATATGTCTATACCTTTTCTACTCAGTCTAGAGTTTTAATCTTCACACACAGGAAAATTTCCTTATTCCTTTAGCCTAAATTGACATGTTCATTTAGCAGGGACTTCAAAAGCAAGTCTTACCAGTATACCATGGTATCTCTGGCTAGAGAAGAAACAAAATGCTGTGTTTCCCACCACACTCTAATCATGGAGACTAAAGAATAAAAACCCTACAAAGAACCTACAAGTGGCTGATGGGTTCCAGGACTTCTGCTGGAGGTATGAACCTAACATCCCCACTCACCATCCCATGTTTATTCTGTCTCTCACTGGGCCTGTGGATTAGCAGTGGCTGGTCCTCTTCCTTAACTGTGATCCCATAGTTTTTCCTTGAGCAGAGGAAGAAAAATTTGGGAAGCAATATCACTACTCTTATAGCAGTACATACTGAGTCTATTAACTTCTTCACCAGGATTGAGGCTTATGATTTGCATAATACCTTTGTCAAGGTACATCAACAACCTATCATAGTACAATGGTACTTTCATTAATAATTCTGGTCATAGACTTTGGCTGAAACCAAAATTGTGAACCAAAATCTTTGATCAGAATTGTGGCAAAAATTAAGTTTGTAAACTGAGTCACCACTGTATAGCTATGACTTGAAAAAGTAGTCTCAACTTCCGTTACATTAAGTAATGGAGAAGTAAGGCCAAAAGTATAAGAAACAATATATTTAAAAACTGAATTGGGGGCTGGGGAGATAGCTCCGTGGCATAAGTGTCTGCCTGACAAGCACAAGATCTCGAGTTTGATGTACAGTACCACATGTTGTGCCAGACCCAGAACTGGGCATGGTAGCACACACCTGTAATCCCAACACTAAGGAGGCTAAAACAGAAGGATCACTATGAGTCTGAACTGCATAGCAAGGACCAGGAAGATAGCTCAGTGGCTTAAGCACCTGCCTATCAATACAAGGTCCTGAATTTGACCCTGGGTACAAAAAACAAAAATGTATCTGAACTGCATAGCAAGACCCTGTATCAAAAAAATAAATAAATACTGAATTAGGCTAAGAGTCTCAGATAGTAAAATGAAATGATAGTTGTTGTATTTTTGTTTTGTTCTATTTATTTATTTTTGTGTTGTTTTTTGCGGAACCGGAGATTGAACTCAGACACTTGGGCTTGCCAGCAAGTGCTTATTCTACTGAGCCATCTCCCCAGCCCCTTGTTTTATTTTTGAGACACAGTCTGGCTATGCAGTTCAGGCTGTCACCTTGAACTCATTGTGTAGCCGAGGCTAGCCTTGATTTTGAGGTGATCTACCTGCCTCAGCCTCCCCAGTGCTGGGATAGCAGGCATGTACCACCAGGCCTGTCTGGATAGTTGAATTATTAATGACTTAAATATAATCTCTTCAAGCAGACTTCTAATAAAATCAGCAAAACAAATACAAAGCCTGAGATTCATTTATGTAGTAACTTTGCAAGGTACTAAAAGATGATACTGTATGAGTAGCACATTTAGGTCAAACCCTACAAACAAGTTCAATCTTCAGCATGTTACCAATCCAATTATTTTTAAGGTGTCAACTTGCATGCTACATGGAACTCAATATCCTCTACAGAACAGAAGACTATACCTTATTCTGCCCCTCTTGGGCCAAAGCCATATCTTTTTCTTACCTGTAGTATTCTAGAAATGTGATCTCCTTCCCATCAGACATTGTGAAGCTATCCTTTGGAGTCTTATTCCAATCCACATCATCAATCCGATAGGTACGATTATTGTATCGGGTAATAACAATATTGCCAACCAGAAGTTTACTGCACTCATATTGAAAGTTTTCTTTGTTCTGCTGGTACATGGCATGCCTTTGGAAAGGAAGAGGCAAAAGACTTTGGACCACTCTTGTACGCATAGGGCAATAGGAAAGGGACTAGAGACTCAAGTAATTAGTTTATGGATCTAATGGTCTAGCCACAGCTAAACAGCACCAGAAGTCACCAGCATCTGTGTCTTTTAAAGGATGGGACCCTGAGCCAGATACCACTGGCTCATGTATATAACCCTAGCACTCCAGGAAGCAGGGGCAAGAACTGCAAGTTTGAGCCAGACTGGGCAATTTAGCAACTCAGTGAAGCCCCATCTCAAAATAAATAAATAAATAAATAAATAAATAAATAAATAAATAAATAAATGGCTGGGGATACAACTCAGTGCAATTTCCTTTAAACATTACTCCCTCACAAATCAAACAACAGTGAAAGTTAAAAATTGTATCAAAAGCAGCAAAAGCAAATTTAGCAACTCAGTGAAGCCCCATCTCAAAATAAAAAAATAAATAAATAAATAAATAAATAAATAAATAAATAAATGGCTGGGGATACAACTCAGTGCAATTTCCTTTAAACATTACTCCCTCACAAATCAAACAACAGTGAAAGTTAAAAATTGTATCAAAAGCAGCAAAAGCAAATTAATAAAATCCACTGCATTCTGTATTTTTGTCATCAAAATAATTATTACTCTGTATCGTTCGCACTAGGATACAGGCTGCAAAAGCTACCAGAAAAGCATTCTTTAAATTGCATTTGTCTGTTTTTGTTTTGTTTGGGTTTTGGTCTTTATGAGACGGAGTTTTGCTATGCAGTTCAGGATGGTTTTGAACATACTTTGTAGCCCAGGCTGGCCTTAAACTCAGAGCAATCCTCCTGCCTCAGCCTCCTGAGTGCTGGGATTATAGGTGTGCACCATGCATTTGCCCTTTCTTGGCACAGGAAGAAATTACTGTATCGGAGCCCATTATAAGGCAGGCAGGCAATGGTTATGATGCAGAGATGGAAAGGTTAAGTGAATATCCCACCCAGTAATCTGTGTAACAGACCTGCGACCAAAATAGCACCGGCAACTCACAGATACAACATATGAAGATACTCAGGCAGTCAAGCAATGCGTACAGAGGCAGCTGCCACAGAAAAGATCCAGGTGCTGCAGATATTGCTGCAGCAAGGCACTGTCAACATCCTGAGCAGAGAAAGTGGGGGTATGGCAGTCAAGGATTAGGGATGGGGAGGAGATGGGACCTTTTCCTCTAGTCCAAGGTCTCCAACACTTACAGTCCCTGAAAGGCTTGGGGTGGGGGGTGAAAAAACCACCACATTCAAAAAAGTTGAGCTTATTCTGTCATAGTACAGTCCCTTCTTAGGGACAGACTACATACATGACTACATAAGGTTTTTTGTTTTGTCTTTGTTTTTTTTTTAACAAGAAATTGAACTCAGGGCCTTGTTCTTGCCAGGCAGGTGCTTATGCAGCTGAGCTATATCCACAGCCCAACATCAGGTTCTGAAAAGTGTGAGAGTGAGAAGTGACAGACTCTTCCCCACCCTTTATCCAGCAGAGTCTCTAGGACCATTTAGGGCAATTAGTAGTACAGAGCTTGCCTAAGAAATTTCGACTGCAGTAAGTGAAAAGCTATTAGAGACTTGAACAGCTCAAAACTGACAGCAGATCAGCAAGCCAAAGTGCGAGGGTTCAAACCTTGGAGCTGCCACTTATTACAGCTCATGGAAAATTCAGCAAGCTACTTACTCTCTTTGTGCCTCAGTTCCTCATATGAAAGTAGGGTTAGTACCATCACCTAACTCATGTTGAGAAAACAAAATGACTTTATAAAGCACTCAGACCTGTGCCTATTACAAAAGAACTATGTGTTTATTTTATCATTGCCATTAATAGCAAGTGTTCACTTCAAACCAGCATGTATATGTTTGACGTTTTAAGTGAACAGATTTTTTAAATTATTTAATAAGGCCTGCAGCCTGTGTATTAGCTAGCACCTGTAATCCCATCACTTGGGAGAGTGAGGCAGAAGGATTACTTCGATTCATGGTCAGCATGGGCTACACAGCAAGAAGTCTCCGTCTCTGTCTCTGTCTCTGTCTCTGTCTCTGTCTCTGTCTCTCTCTCTCTCTCTCTCTCTCTCTCTCTCTCACACACACACACACACACA